AACCGCCGGCGGAAGGGCAGCCTGCTCGCCTGCCGCGGGATGCGGCGTTTCTCCCTCCGTCCCAGCAGCACCGTGTGTAACACATCTTTCCAAAAGCTGTGTTACAGCAACAACAGTCTCGGTACAAAGGCAGGAAACTCTGATTTTTCTCTTCTGGCTGCTTCTCCAAATGCTGGGCTGCAGTACCTCGGTCTGCTGGGGTGAGATCATGCCTCTGCTGCCTCCCACTTCTTCCCCCCCTCCTTTTTTTTCTTTTTGGATATGCCTGTTTTGATCTGTACGCTGTGGTAGAATAGGTAATGGGAGCTTCTTGCTGGTATCTGTGAATTTTGGATAGCAGAACTTCCATGATATTGCCTATAGTACAATATCACGTATTGTCGATACTTTATCAGAAATAAAGTACGGTGTGAGAAGTATTTCAGAATCGAGCTTGTTTTTGTGAACTGAAGTTTAAAAGAAATTAGAAAAGTTCGATTAACGAGTGAGGCAAACCTTGGTAATCCACACTTCCAGCGCCTTTCTGACTCTACCTTCGCAGTCCCACGCTGCGGCAGCTTCCTGCCAGGATAAGGTAAACTTCTCCGCGGAGGTCACGGATGTGTCTGTGAGCCCTTCCTTCGGGGTGACAAAAGGCATTCCTTCTAGCCCTCAACCCAGATCTTGAGTGCTCCATCCCCAGAGCACTCACTGCCCTCTGAGGAGCAGCGGGTGGGAGAAATGATTGGAGAAAATTCATCTGGGTCTCCTGCATGGCAGACACAGCATGACTGCTGAGAACTTTTTGCTGCCACGGTGACTTTCAGTGGTAACAATAATGACAACTTTTTCTAGAATTCTTGGGAGTCGATGTAGTAAACAAATGTTGTTTGGCAGGCTTTGTGCTGTGCTTGAACAGTCTCTACTCACTAGCTACCTGCTGTGTCATAAGTGGTGAAACTGGCATGTGAGTTTAACGCATCAATATGTTTGTTGATGCAAAAATTGAAAGGTGAGATGTCTCTGTGTAATACCTTAACTTCCTCCTTTCTCTAACGCATAGTGTGTTAAAGCTCATTCTGCTGTGAGCAGAACCTTGTAACAGTAGTTCAGGAGAGATTTGTTGCACTCAGTTTTGCTTTTCCTTCTGCTCATCTAGCATTTTGTCTTTGGTGACTGCAAAAGAGATCTGTGAAGCCCATTTCTTTTTTTTTTTTTTTTTTCCTTTCCCTTTTCAGTGGTTACTCAGAGAAAGGGGAAACAGGTAAGCAGCAGGAGGTGTTCTGGAACTCTTTGCCTCCTTCCGAAGGCCAAGCTGAATTGGTGTCTCAGCATGCAGCGTCTAGCGTGTCATGTGTAAAAGATCACTTCTGATTTAAGTCTGTCACAGCATTAAAAGAGAGTAATGCTTTTGGATGCGTTGCATTTTGTAGGATTTGTGAAACTAATTATGTGGTGTTATTCTCTTGAAGAAAAAAGGAATTATTACCTTTACTTTTCTTACGCTGATTAAGTAAGGACAGGCAGATGGGGATGACCGATGAGGCCATAATCTGTTATTGTAGAGTTGTATCCATTAGCATTTTCTCAGAAGTATAATTAAAAAGTATTAATTTAATTGGAATGTTGAGTGGCATAAAAGCATCAACGGGATTCATCACAGAAGCATGACTTAAATTGGAAACTAGTTAAAACGCAGAATTGGTCAAGGCAACATTTTCAGTCTTATTTAGCCTTGTGTGTGGCCATTCTAATTGTACATAATTTGATATGTAAATTCCTTGGGGATGGGAAATCCCATTCATCTTTGGTGTTCTTTGCAAGATGGATCTGTAAATAAGTCAGAATTGTAAGTAGAAAATACTTTACTGATTGTATGGGAGGTTATTTTTAATATAGTCAATCAAATAATCAAATGTACTCTCAGGCACTTTAATGTGAGATTTACTGGCTCCTTCATGTGGTATTAACTTAGGTGTTAACATTTCTCTTTCCAGCTTCTCTTTGCCGTATCAGTTTTGCACTGGGTTGAGATTGTGCACAACTTTAGATCAATGCATCTTTATCGTGATGTACCATCTACTAATCACAGCAAAGCACTTAAACTGCTACTGCCAGTTCTGTTAGTAATCTCATGCCCCTTCCTCCCCCCAAAATTTGAAGGCTAGGTTATTTTGAGCTGTTTGAATTTTCTGTCAACAAGTAATCCTCATTTTAACTGCATGAATTATCCACAGTCTCCTGGTACTAAAATGGAACTAAACTTTAGTTTGGCAGCTGAAAATGGCTGGCTTAGCTGTAACAGAGTTCTTAATTTTTTTTTTTTTTTTTTAAGTAGTACTACATACGAAGAGGGAAATGAGGGGAAGTTGAAAAGAAAATTTTTTTCGACACAGCTGATGAAGAGCTTACCACTTCACTTGTGAAATGGCATAGCTTGGTAAAATCAGTTAAATAACAGATAATTATAACTTTGTAATGTCAGTTGAATGGAATTTGTTGTACCTTAAAAAGAAAACTTCTGTCTTCTAGTTAAGATCTCAAACATTAGGAATTCAGACACTTTCCTCGTACTTACTCTTTTTCATAGCACTTCTTGCATAGCTGACATTGCTCTAACTTGCACAGAATTGGATTGATTTTGTGACTGTGTTCATTTTTGCATCATCAATTGCTGAAGCACAGCTTCTCATACGTATATAGTTAACTCTTTTGGAACTTTCTTGAAATACAAGATTAATAGTAGGACTGTTATCTCTTCGGTGTCTAACAGTTAACATACTTTAAAAGAAGAACTGTAGTACTTTGACATCAATTCTGAGAACACGTTAGTCTATAATAATATGGGTGATTTTGTATTTACTTCTTTGTGGCATGGGCAGGTTTTCAGAAGCTCTGTAGTCAAACTGGAGTTGTATCTACCTGGCATTTTTTAAAACAACTTTTTTCCTGTGCTGCTGTCCTATTTATGCAAAAACTCATTTTGGTGAAGACCAGAGAGAGGAGAGGTGTGGAGGGGGTGGAGTAGGGAATAAGTGCAGGGAATAAGTGCAGGGACGTTTGAAGAAAGAACTGTCTTCAAGAGGGGGCTGATACGGAGACCTTGGTTTAAGAAAGCAGAAGGAATGGTAGAGTTGGTTTTTTGGTGGTTTTTTTTTTTTTTTTACAAGGTTTGGTGGTTTTTTGTTTTTTTTTTTTACAAGGAACATGGGAGGGTAATACATTGGAAAGAGTGGTAGTAGCTGGTATGTGCAGAGCATCTTGCCTATGAAGCAGCCAAGTTTGCAGCCCTTTTGCATATTTTACTGTGCAGCAGATATAATTAAGTTGGCGTTTTTCCCTTTGGTTATTTGAATTTATTCTGATATAATCTGTTCTGCTTGTTCTTAAAACAAGGATGCTATTGCATCTTTTTTTTTTTTAATATTTCTAGTAAGGTGGAATTTTTTTTTGCCGAGAATGGCTGCTAATTTTGTTTGCATTCACGTGTGCATTTTAAATTAACAAAAGTTAGTACTTCTAAGACAAATGCTGGAGAAGGCACAGAATTTACATCTGTCTTTAAGGTTGAGTTCAGAATTGAGCTGAAAATACTTGAAGTAACGAGAGCTAGGTACAAAACGAATACCAGGCGTGCAACCTGCTGTCCAGGGGATGGGGGGACTGGAAGGATGGACCTGTGTCTGTTTTGGTAAGTGTAAGTAGGACTTCTTTCTGAAACTGTCAGTTGTGAGCAAGGAGGCTGCAGTCGTCTTTTTTTTTTCTTCCTTTTTCTTCTCCTTCCTCCCACCATACCAGAAGCCAATACATGGTGATGTATTATTTGGGTTACGTTTGCCATTATTTTTGTAAACAAATGTTAAGGTTTAAAAATCCTCCATGTGATTCTTTGACTTCGATTTGATTTAGCATCTAGTCTTGAGTAGCTGTTTTTAATGAAACAGAAAAAGTCCAAGTTACGGGGGAGTTTACAGACATTAAGAAACTTTTGTAAGTTATGTTGGTGTTCTGCTATCTTCTAGATATTCAGGAGTTAGCTTTCCTGAGCTAAAGAAAATTGTCAGAACCATGGTTTACCTGACTATGGAAAGAAAAATAAACTTGAGTGGTCTGTTTTGGTAGATTAGAACTATTATGATCAAGTAATCTTATAGTAGCTTTGAAGTTGCATGCACTTCTGTAGATCCATTCATTTGAAAACCATGCGTCAGTTGATTATCTGGGAAGAAAAATGACTCATAAATTTCATAAATGTGCATAATTCTAGCAAAAAATAGGAAATTTGCTTTGTGAAGATGATTGTCAGTTGAGAGAATCCTGTTTCTTGTGGCTGTGAAGACTAAGTGCATTGTGTAAGTGTTGACTTGTACTTCTTTCAGGCTAATGGGCTTGAAAGTATTTCTTCTGTCTCCATTCATCTTCCCAGTATCTAAGCAGGGATTCAGTAGAGACAGCTGGCTTATTTATTAGTTGCTGCTATCTGAATACTCCCCTAAACCAGCTTCAATCTACAGGTCTGAGTCTTGAGTCTTTTGCAGTTTCAAGAAGTGTTGAGTATATACTTGTTTTCATGCTAGGCCTTTTCTTTTTTTCTCTTTTTTTTTTAGTTCACACTACCATGGTAAGTCAGGAGTACTTTGTACTTGGTGTCTTAACAATGTCTGATTGTCACTTATGCCTTGTATCGGATGGGCCTGTGGGTTTAGGTTTTGGATACAAAGGCTTCCTCTTACTGTGTGCTTGTTGAGAAGCTAATTTTTATCTTGCTGAAGGGTTGGGATGGTCTGCTGGACTATTTACATTTTTTTGACCTCCACATTACTGTTTAGCTTGGCAGGGATAAAAATAATTGTCATCTTACGGCTTTTAAATAGTTTTTTTAAAGAAGGTTGTTCAGTGTTGTCTCTAGCAGAAAGTTATTCCCACCCCCCAAAAGCAGAAAGTTTACTGTTTTAGAGCTGTTACTCTGAAACTTTCTAGCACCTCAGCGTACCTTGGAGTGATTAACTTGGAGTTGTTGGATATGTATTATGAGCAAAATACAGATTACTAATCGTAAGGTTAAAAAGAATAAGTGATTTAAAAAACCCAAACCTGCTATCACTCCTTCTCTAGAAGGAGTTTGAATTTCTTTTCCCTGTGATATTTGATACTAGTTCTTTGCGCTATGTTAAGCAGCGACATACACAGTAGTGGTTTTTGTGTGCTGTGGTAATAGCATTTTGGCTTATCTCTCTCTTCTCCCCCCCCCCCCACTTTCCCTTTTTTTTTTTTTTGATACTTTGCTGTCTAGCCAGTATCTTGAGAAGAGCTGGATAAAATGGGTGTAGCTTGTATGGCTTACTTGAACTAGAACTAGTCTTAAATATAGCCCAATTGCAAATGTGTATACCAAAGACGGTCCTTAACTGTATCTGAAAGTGGCTTGCTGTTATTTAGGAAGCAGCTACACAATAGTTGATGTTGAGTGTGTGTTTCCTTGTTTCATTTGGAGGCAGGTGGTTTTTCTCCACCAAGTGGTGACTATGTGTGCAAGTAGCCATGATCTAATTTATGGTCAGCCAGTATTGAGGAGGTCCAGAGGATAATTACTAG